AAAAAAAAAAGGAATTGAACTCAGGCTCTTGTGCTTGCCAGGGAAGCTCTTATTCCACTGAGCCATCTCCCTGGCCCCCTGTTTCATCTTGCCAACAAGGCAGACCAGCCGCCACCTAGCCCAGCTTTTGTCTACTTGTCTCTTTTTCTCATTCCCACTGCTGTTTCTCACTGGGTAGAACTGATCACATTGAGACCAACAGATCCCTACACCCCGCCACTTTGAAGCCACTTGCTTTTCAAGGGCAGGAAGTGCCTCTATTCACCTTTTTATCCCCAATATCTATCTGGTACATAGTAACAAAGAAATGTTTGTTTAATGAATAAATGAATAGAATTATGAAATGGCAGTGCTAGAATTTGCACTGGGGAAAGTGATTCAACTATTTGTTTGTTTTTGAGACAGGTTTTGTGTGTGTGTGTGTAGTTTAGGCTGACCTTGCACTCACTGTGTGGCCCAGGCTGGCCCCGAACTCACAGCAATCCTCCTGCCTCTGCTTCCTGAGAGCTGCATTACAGGCATGTGCTACCACAGCTGGCCTCAATGTGTTATTTAAATAAAATGGAAACTAAAGCCCAGAGGAGGGTCGTAGATCAGGTTCCTTCACTCACCTTATCAATGCCCTGGAATTGGGATTTGGCAGTGACTCCCACTGTGGAAGGAGGAGCCTTCCTATCCCGCTGACACTGAGCTTGGCCCCGCGCCTTGTCTGGTCTGGTGACGTGTTTGTGTGAAACTCCTGCTTGGGATCGGCTCACCTGTTGTGCCTGTGTGTCTGCCATGAGACGCCTGTGGCCTACGTGCCCATGGCCTGTGTGGCCCAGACGCAGACGGAGATCACGTGGGACAGACCTGGGTCCAGTTGGAACCCCAGGCCCTCTCATGGCTCAGGCTGGTCAGCTGAATGAACTCAAGCTTTGGGCCCTTGCGTGAGAAAATAACATTTCATCTTCTCAGTCCTGGAGGCTTTGAGGTTGTTTGTTGCACAGTTGCAGCTGACTGATAAGAAGGGAAAGTCAGTTATCCTGGATGAAGGTCGCATCACTGAAACTAGTGTTGACCTGAAATTCAGTGGTTATTTACATACATGAAGAGATCTGTGTACGTTAGCTGTGCTTAAAAGTGGGATAATATGCCAGGTATGGTAGTGTATGCTTGTAATTCCAGCAGTCTGGGAGGCTGAGGCAAGAGGGTCACTTCTCAAAATAAAAAAATTTAAATGGGATAATAATTTTTAAAAATGTATTTAGTACAGGGTCTCACTACATCGATCGGACTCATAGTGATCCTCCTGTTCTCAGCCTCCCAAGTGCTGGGGTTACAGGCACGCCCACACCCAGGCTCAGTCACAGTCTCAGCATGCCCCGGGGATTGAGCTCCCAGCCCCTGCATCTGCCTAAGCAGGTGCTTTAGTCCACTGAGCTATCTGGCCGGCCCAGGATGGTAACAGTTAATACATCAATCACATATATCTCAGAACATATACAGATATGAACCCTAATGCACATATACAAGCCAAAAGCGAGGCCTCATCCACAAAATGATGTACATACCCAAGTATTTAGGAAGAGTAGTGAAAGAAATGCTAGAAGCAGAGGAAAATGCTACTGTACTTAAACACATTGGAGTTTGGAAATGGAAAATCACAAACACACAAACACTTCCCCATACAACTATGTTTTTGTGTGAGACATATTTAAATGTACGTAGTTACATACAAAATTGTGAGACAAGTCACAGAAACTGGCAGACTACTTCCAACAAGTGTTCTTCTTCTTTCTCTTGCAGATAAGCAGTGTACAGTCTATCCAGTAAGCAGTTCTGGACTCATCTACTTTTACAGTTATATCATAGACTTGCTTTCTGGCACTGTAAGTATTTAACCTAATTCTGTTTGGGCCTGCAAAATACTAACAGGAGGGTAAAGATCAGTGCCATCCGTGTCTGCAGTGAGAGGTGAACACAAGTGTGGACGGGCTCCAGGAAGGCCCGCCAGGCTCCTGGTTACTGATCAGCAGGCAGGCTCCTCCCTCCGGTGTGTACAGGAAGAGGACCTTGCACTGTCAGCCACGCCAGTCTCTGGTCCCCACCATCCTCTAATCAGCCTTCAGCAGAATACTGGGCCCCACAGAGAGAAGTGTCAGTGAGGATGACCCAGGACAGAAGTAGTATCATTTTCTCTCTTTCTGAAAACCCTAGACCCCAATGAATGAAGACTGTGGCTCCTCCATCCAGAGAGTACACATGGAGACACGTGTGAGCGCAGATTCGTCATATACACACGTCACGTACACACACCACACCTGCACCTAGACCTATACCCGGACTCCTTGGGATCCCTCCAAAATTGGTTAATCTCAGGTCAACACCCTCTGCTCCTAAGTGGAATACATAGTTATTTTAAATGGTTTTATTTCTTCATCAAAAAGTAGTTTGTGTGTGTGTGTGTGTGTGTGTGTGTGTTTGTTTTGTTTTGTTTTTTGCCATTCTGGAGACTGAAGTTGGCCTTTGCACTGAACTATATTACCAACCTTTTTATCTGTTTTGAGACAGGGTCTTGCTGAGTTGCTAAACTGCCCAGGCTGGGATCTAATTTATGATCCTTTCATTCAGAGTTCTGAGATTACAATGGGTGTTACTACGCTAGGATTCCAATGGGTGCCTGCATCTCTGTGTGTTTATAATCCTTTTATTTTCCTAAGCAAATCATAAAGCTGTGAAAAGTTATCATCACTGTAGTCCTACTAAGGATTCCCAACTTGAGCGCAGTTCCATTTTACTGTTGGTGATGGGTGCTGTTCATGCACTGTAGGAGGCTGGGCCATGTCCCTGGTCTCTACCCACTAGATGGCAGTAGCAGGGGGTTATGACATGAGAAAATGTCTTCAGACATTGCCAGGTATTTCCTGGGGGATCAAATGGCTCCTGGCTGAGAACTACCGTAACTCTAGATATTTCATACTTACAAGTGAAAACTGAGCATTTCTAATCTCAAAATCTAGAATCCAACTTGGGAACATTTCAGATTTTTAGGTTAGGGCGGCCTGACTGGTGAAGTCTATTCTAATTTCCAATTCTGAAAAACACTTAAATCTGAAACTTTCCTGGTCTCAAGGATTTCACAGAAGGGGTCTTCAGTCTGTATATAGAACTACCTTTCTGATAGTTACTGATGCAACACATCATGTTATTGAACTTGGTCTTTTCTGAATATGGCTAAATAGAAAACTTTGAATTTGTCAACTGCATCTGATTTTGAGAAAGTGTTTCTGTATCTCCAAACTGCTGTTTTCTTCAGAACAACTTGGAGGAATTGTTGTGTGTGCACATAACAAAGTGGAAGCTATGCAAATGAGGAAAAAGACAGTGACTCCCCCGAGGTCACACTGAAAGCAATGGGCTTTTTATTCATGTAACGTGTGACAAGATTTCTTTCCTTTTTAAGGCTGAGCTATACTTGATTATATGTGTACTCCACTTTTTGTTCCAGACTTTGAAGATTTAACCGTCATTTCTTCTAAACATTTTATTGTCTTGGCTTATATATTTAAATATTTGATCCATTTTAAGTTCACTTTTATATACAGTGAGAGGTTGGAATTTAGCTTCGTTTTTTTGCATGTGACAATCTGGTTGTCTGAATAAGATTTGCTGGAAACAGTATTGTTTCCCTTTGTTAAATATTGACTATAGATGAGACATTAGTTTGTTTCTGGATTCCTACTTTTTTCCCATCTTTGTATGTGTATTATTATTCTATTATTTTGCCCCCACCACATTGTCTTGATTACTGTTGCTTTTATAGTAAATTTTGAAATTGGAACATGTGACTCCTCCAACTTTGTTCTTTTACAGTTATTTTGGCTATTCTGGGTCCCTTGAAATTCCATGAGAAGCCAGCTAGGGTCCTGGGAAGGATTTTTTTAAAAAAGCTAAAAAAAAAATTTTTTTTTAAATGCGCTTAGTACAGAATCTATAGGGTCTCACTACGTAGATTGGACTGTAATGATCCTCCTGTTTTCAGCCTCCCAAGAGCTGGGATTACAGGCTGGAATCACCATGCCCCATCTCAGTGCTGTCTCAGTGTGCCCTGGGGGCAGGGCTGGCACTGCACTCCAGGGATTGAACCCTGGTCCCTGAGTCTGCCTAAGTAGGCACTTTAGTCCACTGAGCTATCTGGCTGCCCCCCCCCCCGTAAGGATTTTGTGGAATCTGTAGATCCATTTGTGGGTGTTGCCATGGAGCCCTGATCCATGAATACGGGATGTTAGTTTTCCAAATATAAGATTTATACTTCTTATGTTAAATTTATTCCTAATTAATTTCTTGTGTTAAATTTATCCCTAAGTCTTTTATTATTTTTGATGGGATAGCACATGGAACTATGTGCCTAATTTCCACTTTGGGTGATTCATCTGAGTGTTTTAATGCTCAGGTTTCCTTGGTACCTATATCTGGGGCTGTTCTGGTTATCAAGGGATACAGTGATGGATTTAGAGTTATTTCAGTGTGAGTTCCTTGAGGCACAAACTGCTATTCTAGTTGTATGCACTGAGCCGACCAGGCTGACCTCATGCCCTTGGCTTTTGTTTCAGGGCTTCTTGGAGGAAACCAGCCTCTTTTATGGACATTACACTATTAATGGTATAAAATTTCAGAACTTCACCTATGACCTGCCCTTGGCTTATTTGATAAGCACGATTGCTTACCTGGCCCTGAGCCTCCTTTGGATAGTGAAAAGGTAAGAGTATCTTTCATTGCATTCTCCTTGAATTGATGGCTGGTGTCTCTTAGAGCTCTGTTGAATCTGAAAACATTGCCCAAAGGAGGAGGAACTCTTGGTTGGATTAGTGAGGAAAAGGTTTGTGAGTGTATTGGCAACTGAGAACACCTGGAGGATATTGAAGTAAGAAGTTGGGACTGGAGTAACACCCTGGAGTTAATTTGTTTGGAAATTCCACACCTCTCTTCCAACAATCTTTATCTTGCTTTGGTATTTATGTTAATTAAATATCTATTGGGTTGCAAGTGGCAGAAACTCAACTTTGGCCAACTGTGACAAAGGGTAACAGAATGAGGCACAGATCAAAGGAAAGGAGGAAAGCGAACTACAGAAAGACAAAAAAGGGGCCTGGGAGATGGCAAGCACAAGGGCCTGAGTTCAATCCCCAGTTCCACCAAAAAAAAAAGGACAAAAAAATAGCTATGCGGTAGGAATAATATCAAAAGCAAGAGCTCCTGCAGCTTTGCATCTCTAGGGTTGTGACAGCTTTATGAAGTAGAAATAAGGCAGCACACAGTTGCCATCAGCCCGTGACTCCCTGGGTCACAGGTGCAGGAATCCTTGGAAGAGACGCCTTAGCTCGGGTTCGCTCAGGTGCTAGTCCTCTGATGCATCATCTACAGCCAGGAGGTTAGGGTTACAGGATAGAGCATTAATTCCTTTAATAACTTTAAGAAACAACTATGTCACAGGGTAAGATGGCCCAAACATAGTAAAACTTGTATTTCTGTACCCCACCAGATACTGACTGAGTTAAACATCTTAGGGTCTGAAATGATTTACAAATGTGCATTTGGGGAAAGCATCTCAAGTGGTCCTGATCTATATTCTTCGCTGTGAAGAATATTCTTCCACTTCCATTGTCCTCATACATCCCTAGCAAATTCTACAAATAACCTGTTTCATCTAGAGGCCTGTGCGTGACACTTGGTGTTTTTATATCATCAATGCCAGAGTATATTTTACATGAAAGCAGTTGATTGAATAAAAATTGTGAAATATATGAGTCGCATCTGGCCTGCACAGGTGCCTGCTAAAGGTTTCATTTACTATTTGAGTCATTTATTCATGCATTTGTCCACTAGGTGAGCAAATGGGACCTAGGCATTGTACATAGAAAGGAGGCAAGATAATCAGGTGTCCTCAAGGAATTTGTAATATAGTCAGAGTGAGAGGACATAAGCAGTGAGTGAGTAAATAAGATTATTTTGGATTAGGTTCATTGCTGTCAAAGAAATTAAAGGGACTAATTTGAAATAGGGCTTGCAATTTTAAATGGAGAGATGTGGGATCCTAGAGGAGATATTGGAGCTGAAATCTGAAAGATAGTGTATTAGTTCTGTTATTGTGACAAAAACCATGAGATAGCTTATTTAAGAGAAGGAAAAGTTTATCTTGGCTCTTGGAGTCAGGGATTTCAGTCCACCATCCCTTTGCCCTGTGGCTGGGCCTGTGGCAGTATAGTAAATCAGAGTGAGAGCCCACCATAGAGGCATGCTTGCCTCATGGCAGCCAGGAAGCAAAGAAAAACAGGAAGAGGCAGATCCTCTTCGGCCTGTTGAAGGGCACACCCCTCCTGAACTTCCTCCTACTGGGCCCCACCGCTTTAAGTGTCCTTGCTGTTCAGCAATGCTCTGGCTGGGGACCAAGCCTTCAGCACATGGGCATCTGAAGGGACACTCTGGATCCAGTCTGTAGCAGATGGCTGTGGAAGTCAAGGGAAAACCGTACCAGAAGAGAGTACAGGAACTGTCATGTAGAGAGGGCCAGAGGCACAAGCAGGATTTATAGGTTTATGAAAGATGTGAAAACTATTACAGTAGAGTGGCCACATGGGAGGAGACTGGATAGAACTAGATCATGTAGCATTTCTCGTTTATATTAAAATGGGCTGGGAATGAGAAAACAATGGAAACAAAGCTTTTGTAAATGGGGAGGGAAGGCAGTGTTGAAGGGAGAGAGGGAGGGGAATGGGGGAAAAAAATCAAGTCATATCCTGTACAGGTACAAATTCTGCACGATGTGTGTGACCATTATGTATATCTAAAATGAACCAGTTAAATCTGATTGGAGAAAAATATGGTCTGGCTTTAGTTCCAGCTATGATAGAAGTTATTAGATAGATATATGGAGGTGGTTTTCATCAGTGAGATGCCTGGCTAACTGCCACATCTATAGAATGGTCTAAAACTTGACCATGTCAAAATGTGCCAGACATACAGCCATGTGCAGCTTCTCAGACTTCAGAGAAGCCAATTCCTGGATCTGTGTTTTGCTGCTGCTCTCATCAGGATACTTGTGTTTTGGGGCCAGGTCAGTGGAAGGGTTTAAAGTCAACCTGATTCGGAGTGAGGAGCACTTCCAAAGTTACTGCAACAAGATCTTCGCTGGCTGGGACTTCTGCATCAGCAACCGCAGCATGGCTGACCTGAAGCACAGCAGCTTGCGGTATGAGCTCCGAGTGAGTGCTGCTGGGTCTTCCCGTGGGGGTTCTCCCAGCCCGGTCTTGCCTCAGAAGGCCAAGCATGCAGCCTGTGCAGGACCCGCGTGGGGGCCAGGCTGTCTCAGGTGGTCGGCAAGCTTCTCCTATGTTGTCTTCAAGAGCTTTCTGAGGTGTACAGCATACTGGGGTTGATGACCTTGAACCTAAGGTGGGGACACACACTGGTGGGAGAGGACAGTATCTTTTTTCCCTGTGCTGCCATCTTACACTGTTCCGTTCTCACCTGATGAGGACTGTCATAGGCATTGCTTGTACAGGAGAAACTGGACTGAAGCGGGAACGCTGTGACAGGTTAAAGTGGAAAGAACATGAAAAAGTACAAGAAAATTTCTAAATTGATAAAAGGAAAAAAAGGAGTAGTGAGTAGCATCTTGGTCAACACCCATTAAACAAACAAACAAAAAGTAAATGAGGAGGGGGGCAAGCAAATCGAAAGCTTAATAAAGTAAGGGGAAAGGAAATAAGTTGTTATGTTTTATTCTGAATATGAACAGATCATATTTCCCATTAAAAAGCAGCGACGGCTGGGGAGATGGCTCAGTAGAATAAGTGCTTCCCTGGCAAGCGCAAGGGTATGAGTTCAATCCCCGGTTCCACAAAAAATAAAAAAAATAAAAAATAAAAAATAAAATAAAAAGCAGAGACTACAAGACTTAAAAGATAACATCTACTTACATGGTATTTCAGATAGATAGAGATACAGTTTAGTATATATATATATTGTTTATATATATATACATTGTATATATATATATATATATATACACACACACACACACACACACACAAGTTGTTTAGTGCCCTTAGTAGTCATACTAGATAAAATCTAATTGGGCTTAGTCTGGGAATGAGTCTTGGGTGATTTGAATATTTAAAGGAAGTCCTAAAGATGGATGAGAATTAGGATTTACCCTCCTAAAACGCCTTCATTTCATTGCTCACAAATATATTTTCTTTGGTCCTCAGGCAGATCTGGAAGAAGAGAGAATACGGCAGAAAATAGCACAAAGGACCTCAGAGGAGACAATACGCATTTACTCTTTGAGATTGTTTTTGAACTGCATTGTGCTGGCTGTTCTAGCTGTATGCTTTTATGCAATCTACTTAGCGACTACCTTCTCCCAGGAGCACATGAAAAAAGTAAGTGCACCTCCAGAGTCAGTTCAGCCTGATTTCTGCTGGGTGTTGTGTTAAACACACTGCAATCTAGAGTGATGATAGATACTATCATCATTTCTGAATATAAGTGAGGGTATATAAGTTTGGCTGACATAACAGAGAACTAAAAATCAGTAGTGATCAAATTTCCACTTTAAAGAGAAATTTTAGAACACTTTTGAGATACGTACCTATTTCCTCTGGAATATACAATATTCTTATTCTGGCTAGATTGCCTGCATTTTTATTTGCGACTCTTCTACTTAGCAGGCAGTGCCTTAGTTTTCCCTAAACTAGCAGTGATTTTAAAACCCAAGATTTTTAAAATTAATTTTATTGAGAAACAAATAGCAATAAGACAGTTTCAAAACCGATTAGTAGGACAGTTTCAATAATTAATACATTGCATATTGTTGTCTTTGTAGTGGTTATTCATAGTACAAGATGCAGACATGATATCCTGTCCACAAACACTCTTAGTATAAATCTTTCTTCACATTGAATTAA